GATTTCCAATAATGGACTTATAGTCAAAAACAGTTGCAGAAGAGCAAATCTCAGGAGGTCTCCAGAGCACAGACTGCATTACCTCCTTCATCTATGTGCCCTAGGGTATCAAGGATTGTACCAATGCTGTCAGTTATACCAAAAGCTCCAGAAAAGGGTTTGTAAATGTTCCCATAGAGACTGCATTCAGACCTCTACCTCCAAGACAGAAGCACTTACGGGGCCAGATGATCAGCTGGGTGCCTTTCCCGAAGGTGAGTTGTTGAGCACCTCCGGTATTCACACTCTGAGACAACCATTGACATAAACCTCTTTGCCAGAAAATCAGGCTCTGAGTCTTCCTGAACCTCCACAGCTGCTCTGAAGGCTACAATAACCAGTGACAGTGTACCTATGGTACTGGGCATTTCTTCCTCTCTCTTGTTGTTGGCATAAAACCCTCACATCTCTTATAACCAGGGAAAGGGACCTGCAGATGAGCAATAGGAGAGCCGAGACACAACTACCAACAAATTGCTGTCAGCTTCTTCATCAGAGTGACCATGGCCACAAAAGTCTCCTGTGTTATACAGGAGTGGGAGAGGATTGGTAGAACAAACTTCAAAAGGGACACAAAAAGATACAGTAGTTTGTATATCTGGAATCTAAAAGACGAAAACTCAAATGTCAGGCCAGAGCAAACAATTGGAAAAGACATAAAGATTGTACTTGCTTCTCAGACTTACTAGGCCTAATTGATAAATGAGTCCCAGTCCCAAAAGTCAGCTTGTTCCCACTGCTTCTCTTTTCACTGTTGTCAGCAGCTTTATAGAAACAGGACAGACACTTATCATGTGTCTCCTCACTAACCTGTCTGCCTGGCCTTTTTCCTGACACTCATCCCAGAAACGCGAGCCAAGCAATGTGCAATGTTCCTTATACCTAAGTCACATAATCAAGAGAAATCTCTGAGCTCAAATATGTAAGAGCTGGGCCTGGGGATTTAGCTCAGTTGTTCCGATGCCTGCCTTGGGCATTCCATCCCCAGTACCAAAAAAAAAAAAAAAAAAAAAAAAAAAAAAAAAAAAGCAAGCTGAAGTTCCTTTTGGCAATCTAGACACCCAAAGAGTAAGCAGTGGGGTCCACAGAGAAGCTGATTTTTCTTTTTATTTTCTGAGTTTAAACACTATTTTAAAGCTGTGGGGAACATCAATAAATTGGCATAATTAACTTTCTCACAGGTGATGCGTGGCAATTCGTAACCAAACTGAGAAAGTGCATGTATTTGCACCTGGAATTTCATTTATTCTTTCTTTAGAATCAAATTCTTCCAGGTAAGAGTCTATTCAAAAGTTGGATTGGGATTAGGGGAGGCCAGAATGTCTTTTGTACTCACAAGGTTTGACTTTCAAGACTGTTCCTGAGCCAAAGGTCATCTTGTTCCCGTAGTTCGCACAACATTAAACTCCTCTACAAAAACAGCACTTGGGTGTGAGTTGGGGTCAGGTGAAGTGTGGCTGACTTAGGGCTGAAGCAGAGGGATGTTTCAGTTTGCATTTAAGACCTGCTGGTATTTGGCCAGTGACAGTGTAATAATTGGAGAATTTTGTAAATGTGAAAAGGTTGATTGTGTATTTGAATTTGGCTCCTATTTGCCCTTTGCTGCTTAGGCTAAGATAAATGCTACAACTTCTCCAAGGTTTATTGTATCTCTTCTTTTTCAGGACTTTCCTATCCCTCTAGCCAGAATTTTCTTGCATCTCATTAATCCTAATCAGATCCTCTTGTTCCAAATAATTCTACTCTTCCATGACATTCTCCAATTGCTAAACCCATAGCAACTACCAACTACTAAAAATTTCTCAAAGCACCGCTTGGAAAATGAACCCACTATAGCTGGCTTCCACAAAGTTTTCAAATATTTTGGGATCTGAATTGGGTTAGAGCCATTGGGACTGACCCCTTTTAGGTAACGTGGTCTTACCCAGTTTCTCTCAGTAGCATTTTCCCTGAGTGTTCTGTGATCTCCCCTGAAATTGTTTCTGGGACATTTCAGGCCACTGTGGCATCTGGGAGAGAGTAGACTGACTATCACTGGGTCCCCAAGTCCTGTGGCTTAGTTCTACCCCTACCTCACTTCTAATACTAGGATTCTTTCTGAGCTCCCTATCCCTAGGTTCAGAGTGAGGAGAGACTGTTTCCCTATCTTAACCAGAGAGAAGAGAAGAAATAGACCTTGATGTCTACAGGTGCTTTATTCAGCCTTGCTGAGAGGTGCTTTGTAATGTAATTTTCACTGTTAGAGTCAGTAATACTCATGCCTTTAATTTCTAATACAGAAAAGCGGAAAAAAAAGAGGCTTCTAGGTAACAGAGTGGTGAAGACAGCTGGGGAAACCAGACTTGGGAACTTTCCATACCTGTAGTTCTTGTTCTGCCATACATTTTTTCCCCATTGTGTGAAGCTGTCTTTGGTGCAAAGTAAACATATTCAGAATTTCCACAGCTTTTCACTATAGGTGTAAGAAGTCCATTTGCCCCATGTTTTGCACCTTGCTCTGTGCATGTATATCTGGTACAGCTTTGTCTACTTATCTATCATTTAGCATCTCAGGCATGAGTGTGTCTAACAGCTAATCCTGTGCCTCGTCCGAACTGTAATTAACTGAATGCAGTTGTGCTGCCACATCAAGAAGCTCCACAGGGGACAAAAGCCCTGGGGTTTTTCAAGTTTCCACTTTATCCTCAGGATCAGTGCTTAGCCTTCCTACTTAGAGTGACTCTGCCCCACCAAGAGCACCAGCTTTCAGTGCCTTCCCAGAGACGAAGACATTTACCATCAGCAAGAACAGACAACACTGGGTTACTTTTGTAAAATTATACAGCCTGACATTCTGCCTGCCGTCACTCTAGGTCTCCTGGTTTGCTTGTCTCTTTGATATCCTATGCTTTTTTTCTAAGCACTTACAGAATTTAAAGTTAAAATTATCATACAAAAGTGAAGATGCAGTCATTCTGTCTCAGTTCTCTCACAAGTCACATTGGCACATGATGGCAGCAGCAAAAACAGAATTGTGAATCATAGTTTCTAGTTATGAATTAAATATTCAAGCCTGGAATTCCCTTAGACAACTCAGATATTTGACTGCACCCATCCCTACCTGTTATAAAAAAGGACAGATGGTAAACTCTGTGTAAGCCTGTGTAGTCCAATATGACCCTCAGAATCTGACAGAAGATGATTCCCTGACAGGGACGAAGAACTTACTGGGTATAATGGTGAGTCTGGTTCCAGTTCCAAAGGTTGTTTTGCTTCCGTAGTTAGACACACAGTGTGCTAAGCCATTACAAAAACCATCACTCCAAACTCTCCAGTGTCTCCCAGAAGGCCCTACCCATTTCTTGTGAGCCGATTCCCTACAATGCTTCCACAAGATCAAAGTCATCAGTGACTGTTTCCTATCTTTTCCTGCTGGAATAACTGAGAGAAACCAGGACAAAAGTATTTCACTAGGGGAGGCTTGACATGTAATTTGGTTTTTGTGCCAAATTTGTCTTCAGAGAAAACAGAAGTCCTTTTTCTCTCTCCAGGTGGTATCTGCGTATCCCTCAGGGATCAATCCTGGACTCCCTGCCATCCTTCTTAACCTTCCACCTCATTCTGAGTTTGGCTTTTGCCCTTTTTCTGGCTCCTTCCCCTTTTGCATACATCAAGAGTCATCCTTCAACCCTCTGTTCTGGGTGCCTCTGCCATATGGAGCCCAACTTCCCCACTCAGTGCAGTTGAGGGGAGGGAATTAGGGGGGAGACCATGGCTACAAACAGCTCTATCTGTCCCTCACCCAGCAGGAATCTTCAGATGGAGTGTTTAAAAACCTGTGTTGGCATAAATCATTGTTGGGGTGGAGAGGAGGTGCTCTGTGCTATGTTGCAGATAAAGTTCTGCCTAGAAACAGAGAAGCAAGAGTAGCAGGCTTTTGACCATTCTTTCTGCAGTTGAAAGAATTTGTTTTACACAATGTTGATGGAAAAATTTCTTTAACTTACTTGGAACGACAGTCAAACTTGTTCCTGTCCCAAAATAGAACTGGTTACCGGTGTTCCACTGTGATAGGAAGCTCAACAAAAACCAGGAGGGAGGGAAAGCAGAGCTTACACCTGGGCTGCACCAGAGGCCCTGGCAGGCAGGCGGCTCACCCGCCCCCCCAGCCTCTGTGGGTGGCACAGGAGCAGGAGTTTTAATAGGAAAGAGCTCCAGGGCTCACAGCAGCTGTGACCACGGGCGGCCGGAGGGACAGTTCCTCCTAACCCCCCCCAGCCTCTGTGGGTGGCACAGGAGCAGGAGTTTTAGTAGGAAAGAGCTCCAGGGCTCACAGCAGCTGTGACCACGGGCGGCCGGAGGGACAGTTCCTCCTGAGAGTGGATTAAAAGGAAGGCTAATGTGCAACTTGCCCTGCTCACTGTCTAATTAAAGGTGTAGGCCCATTTGCTGTATGCTTGGGTATTAAAAAAATTCTCTTTCTTTCAAGACTTAATGTCTCTCCAGATGACCATATGATTCTGAAATGCATTTTAATCAGGGATCCTTCTGACATCTTTTGACTCTGGGAACAATTTTATTTCTCTGTGAAACTTCTGGAACAATTCACTGGTCTAGATTTACCTGGTCCAAGGCTCTGACCAGCTTGCCGCCTTCCATCCTGCCTCATCTGTGGGGCACCTCATTATTAGAGTCCATTGCCCATCCTCTCCACCTGCCTTGTCCCCCACAGGCAGTGAGAGCGTGGTGGTTGAGGATGGCTTGTTTTATAAATGGCCACTTTCAAGTCCTATGCTCTCTATGCCATCTTTTGAGGACTAAGCCTACGTTTGCCATTGTTTAACCTTTCTTTCTGACCACAGTTACTATACCTCTACTCCTGCTTTTTGACCCCAGCCACTCTGCCAGCTGCATAGCTATTTAAGCCCCATGTATGGTATCAGTCCCTCCACACCGCATAGGCAATGCCACGGGAGACTTACTTGGAATGACTGAGAGTCTTGTCCCCTGCCCAAACGTCAGCTTGTTGTAGGAGGATGTCACACAGCTACCCAACCCTTTACAATAACTGACAGGTGACTCCTAAGGTGCTTAGACCCCGGTCTTTCTCGATGCCACTTCAAAAGGCATCTCAGATGCTGCTCAGCATTACCTATGGGATCTGAGTTGGAGGCATCGCTAGGCCAGATTCTGTTGGGGATAACAGGAAACTTGCTAAGACTGTATACTTCTCCACCTTGGTGTCATTGGAATTTCTGATAGGCTACAGGTTGAAAAGCATCCTCGAGCCCCCTTATCGAGCCACCTCCTCCTTTCCCTGTTACTCCCCAGTCCATTCAGCGTTCCCATCTGTGTCTCATTTCCATCTTCGAGCCCTCACTTTGTGACACCAGGCCCTCAGACACCACTGATCTGCCTTCTCTGAGACAGCATATGCTCGCTGGCACACTGTGATTAAAGGACTGGAAATGCCAGGCTTTCAGAGGCTGAGATGGGGCGCCCCGCTCCTTATCTGTGGTCAATATGTTGTTCTCATTTGTCTGGCTAATGAAGAGCTGACCTTTCTAAGTGGATACATTTTGCTGAAATGACAACTGCTAGAGAGTTAACAACAATGGCTGAGTTCTGAAGGCACTTTTGGCCTTTCAGACCTCATCGGCATATTTCAGTCAATTGGTTCCTGAGCTCAAATGTCAACCTCTCAGTTCTGTCTCTCATATTACAGTGCTTGGAGAAACTCAACAAAAAATGGGCAACATTGGTCCAACCTGTGCCCTGCTCATAGAGGCAGACTTCACTCAGAGACATCTTGCATATTTGAGACATTACAGCAAGCGGATATTGAGCCTAAGAGCAACGCGGGGCACATTCTAGCTCCGCACCCTCCCAGTGTGAATTTGTGCTGCTACTCAGTGGTGCAGACAAAGACAGTGAAGTCGGATGCCTCCTTCACATACACAGAAGTGGCACTGTGTATCTGCCTGGGCGGCTATGCCTGCAAGAGGGGAGCTGCTCTGGACACACGGTGGCTGGGCTCGGCCCTGTGTGTGCGAGGACCCTGTCCTGGGTGGAGATACTGGGGAGGAAGCAGCTTGCCCTGCAAAGGCAGTCGAGTCAGAGCCGTAACTGTGATAACCTTCTTCCGCTTCAGTCGTGCCCAGCTTCAGTGACAGACATGTTCGTTTTTTAACTGTTTTCCCTGCTCATCTCTCATTGTTTTCATTTCTCATTTCCGAGTACCCACACTTTCCAAGCTCTAAGCTCTTCCTAATTCGTGTCCATTTGGCTCTCTCAGGGCCCCTACAAGAAAGAGCCAAAAGGCCGGAAGTGGGGATGCTGTGAGTCTGGGTCCCTCCAGCTTGCTTTGCTTCCTTGTTACTAGAGTCCCCACTCTAAATATCGTCTTCTCACAGCTGCCACACGTCTCCCTGCAGTGGGGAGTTTTATGACGACTGACAGAAGGAACTTCATGAATCTTAAAAAAATAGTTGCATTTCTCTCTCTTCCCAGTGGGGCGCAGCCACAAACGCACCAAAGCCAAATCTTTCTATCTGCTCTAATTATCAGCAAGGATCCAAGTCACCATGAGGAGGAAGGAATTAAGCCTTGTATTTGAAACTCCTAGGAATTAATTGTAATCTTTTGCCTGTGGTTTCAGTGATAGGAAATGGACACAGTGGATGCTTATTTCTGTCTATCCATTCCTCTTTCTTTTTGTAGTTTTGCATTTATAGAAGCAGTAGGAGACATGCAGGGAACATAGAGGGGTTTGAAATAAGGCCTCCGATTCCTATTCAGTTTCTCCCTCTTTGCTTTCATTTAAACCCCATTCTGAACTGAATATCCTGTACCTATTCAAACTGCTCCCAATTATCCCTCCCCACTGTGGGTGATACCAGTGGAATTTGCCTCAGCTGTGCCAGAAAGAATTTAAGATTGATATAAGGAAGAACTCTCTGACAGAATGGAGCTAAGAAATAGAATTGAAAAGCATGACTTCCCTATCCTTGCCTACAGAGAGGGTCCTGAAAGCAGAAAAGATTCTAGCTTTCTAAGGGGAAGGTGAAGGACAGCAGTACTCATAACAAGGGCAGAGAACTGGGTTTGGAGTCCAAATGGGAGTCTCTGCATATTGAGACTGAAGAAGAGAAAAGACCTTGGATGACACTAGTTAACTACAAGCAAAGTCTGGTTCCCAGCCTACATCCGTTCCTGTAAAACTTGGCAACAGAGATGAAATTGCAGAATTCTCACACGCTGCTGTCCTCTTACACTTACTTGGATGAACAGTCAAGGTAGTTCCGGGTCCAAACATCACTTTCCCAAAGGCAGCACTGCCACTATTTGCACTGTAATGCAGGCCTTTACAAGAACCCTAGAGGAACCCCTGAGGCTCCCTGACATCTTCCTATTCTAATTATGAGGAGAATCAACTCACCCAATGGGGCCTGGACCAGGGTGGCCGGTCAAGTTTCTCCCTCTGAAGGTCAGAGGACCATGTCCACATCTGGCCCTGGGACATCTGGCCTGCTGCCTCTGAGGGCCTGCCCCCACTTCTCTATTTCCTTTGGTCCTTGTCCTGAAGCTTACTGATTTCTCATGTTCAGCAGCTCTCTTTCTAAAGGTCTCATTTCCATTTAACAGCGTCATTTTCAGGACAATTTCTCTGATCAGTTTTCAAGCCATGTCCTTCCCTCCCTTTGAGGTGTCACACATTTCTGATGACAATGAATTGATTACAAGGAGACAGGAGGAGAGTGTTCAGCCTTTTAGAGGCTGACTAGAATTAGATGAGGTTTAGACGTCAGCTTCATGAAACACTGTCTCTTGTGCTCCCCTCATACCCCGGCATACAAAAGAAAAAGAAAATGCTGGGCGTGTTGAATGAAGCCTTGACACAGTGTGACTTTTCTGTTAGTCTTGAACTTGGTGAAATGTAGGTAGTAGCTCTCAGAAAGTCTACACTTGAGCCTTATTATGGTAATTAACTATCCTGGGGACTATTTAGGTTTAGCAAAGAAAGACCCTATTCTGGGGAACCCCTCTGTTTCAGGAAAACTCAGACATCTAGACACCCAACAGTCTTGGCTGCAATGTCTGACCTCCCACAGCAACCAAGTGACCACAGTGGAGGAGTTAGGTGAGGGCCTAGAAGGGACAGCTTCTTGCATGTTTATTTGGAGTTGCTGTAAATTTCACCCCTTGACCAAAGTTCCCATTGCCAACAGTCACAACTATAGGAGTCCTTGGCTATGTCTAGTGGGTGACACAAAAAATCCAAAGAGCCTAATTCAGGCAGGCTCATTATGCGGCATGGCTTGTGATCAAATCTTACCCTGAAGTATAAAAAAACCAGATTATTTTAGTCCCTTAATTGAATTCAACTTTTAAACTGCTATATTTCTTTGATTTTATGCTACTCATCTCTTCAAGCAATTACTTACTAGCAAAAGGTTAAAACTTTAGCTTGCTTGTTTTTATGAAAAGGGTGAGAGAAAAAGGCTAACATTTAGCTCAGAAGAAGTACCCATCTACTTTAAAGATGGGCATTTAAACAAACGTCCCCATCTCTTTGCTATTTCTCATTATTCGCTGTCCAAAGAACCCTCCCTGGCCCCACATACTTTAGCTTCCATAGCACATAAGGCAAAACCAGGTGCCTTCCCTCAGCTGAAGGCCTCAAACCTATGGGCACCAAAGTGTTCCTGTGGCAATAATCTCTGTGTTCTGCTGATAGAAGGAAACAGAATTCAGTCATGGTCTTCTTGGACTCCAGCCTTGTGACCTCTGCATAAAAAAGGGTCCTCTGCATGGGAAATCTGCACACAAGGGCTGTGCAGAGCTCTAGAAATATCTTGCCTCACAGGTGTTTTCTCTGCATGGTTAGGCTGTCAGACTCCCTGGCCCATTCAGCATTTTAAAGCAAAGGGGTTGTTATAGCTCACAGGCTCCCAAAAGGACAACTAAGTGCTGAGAGGTTTCCTCTCTGTCTGCATTCTGGAAAGCCCACCCCAGGTTCCTGCCCTAATCTGTTCCTAGCAAGACACCAAAGATAAAACTGACTTTCTGGTCCCCCACCTTGCCTGCCTACCCTGTGAAAAGCAACTGAGTCCTTGAGTCTCCCGAGATGTTCACATGAATCCCCTTGAAGCTTTAATTTGATAAGACTTCAGAGACTGCTGAAAGCACGGGGTTTGACAACATCATGTATTATTCATTGTTGTCGCAGATGTGCTGATTTCACCCCCGCTGAGTGAGAGAACGGCATGGCTAACCACACTGTGTGTTCTGCAGGCCGGGTCTGTCCAGAACATACCATCCCCTGGGCCACAGGACTGGCTGCATTCATCCCTCAAGCTGTGTGCAGAGGGTCCCTGAATCCTTTACTTGCCTCCCTCTCTACCAGTTATTAAAAGAACTTTTCTGCTCTGTGTTTTCCAACATGCCTTTCCTGGTGTGACATCTTCCCTTGAGTATAGAAAGCAGTGCTGAGTAAATAAAGCTGGGCTTTCTGGCCTGTATTCAGTATCGAGGCCACTTTGCTTACGTCTAAAAGAGATTGAGGGGAAAAAGAAGGAGACTGGGGTCCTTCGAGTTTTCCCCATTTCCCCTTTACCTGAATGTTATATCAAGTCAGTCTTCCCTGCATTAGTTTAAAGCACTAGTCTGAGAAGCCCACCAGCAGCTTAGATTTTCAAGAAGTGCCAAGAGCAACCACAGCTCTGTGCTTTCATATACAGCATCTTAAACTTTTTCAGTACACACACATCCTTACTGGGAGAGAAGGGTGGGTGTGTATGTGAAGGAGGGGATGTACTGCTCTATTCTTCCAACTCAGATGACAGATGAATTTCCCCCTTATTTTCAGGAGAACTAAGTAAAGTGGAGGCTGAATCAATTATTATGGTAACTAAGGAAAAAATGGGGCTAACAGCTCTACCTGAATTAATCAGACACTTCTACCCATTGAGACCTCAGTTACTGGATTGAGGAATGAGAACAGTTCCTTTAAGAGCAATAAA